AAATCACCTTCTATGCCCCCTAGACAATACCAGGGGACTTTTGAACAACAACAACAGTGATTTTTTAAAATGTTCTAACTGAAACTGGGTATATATATATTCATGTCTTGCTTATATTCTCTGTTGTAGAATGTCCACATTCATATACAGGAGCAGATTTTTTTTAATGGTCTGCTACCTCATGGACTTCAACGTAAAGTTGTACATCAGAGTAAAGGGCAGAGCCTGAGTAATTACTTTCAAGAAAAGCGAATATAATTATATGCTGAAGCCAGCCACAACTGAACAGTATGAGAACAACACTCGCTTTCTAGAACATCATCCAACCACTGCTTATTTATTAATGGTTTCAGTGTGTCATTGCATTCCATTCTGACCACCTGCATTACTTTTTAATCAATATAATGAAGGATATTATACTTTATCTAGTTTTCTTAAGTGAAGCTTTTAGAGGGGAAAAACCCAAGAAACAAAAATAAAGATACCTGGTGTGCTTGAAAGTTTGTCAAATCCTGATGAAATGTCAGTAGCATCAGCTGTAGGGATAAACAACAGTTAAATACATTTGTGAGATGAGAATTAAATAGTTCTTTTTTTTTTAAGATGTGTCTTCTTGGGTGGCATAGAAGTTTAAATAATAAATAATTAAATAACTAAATAAATATTTAGTTTAAATATTCACCACAAGAGGGCAACATAAAACTATATAAAATGAAAGCAGCCTCAAAGAAAGCCCCACAACAGGAAAATGCCACACAGAGAACCATTACGGACACCCTGTGGAATAATTCACATACTAATAAACTTAGGCCTTCTGTTTAAAACAAGGGTAGTGTTTCAGGGCTTGCATAAACCTTGCTAGTAGAAAGATATACTTTAAATTAGAAAGCATATGTTTCCCAACAACACACAAAACTGGATAAAATAAATTAATATACTGTATCTATATTTAATTTTCCTTTAAAACTCTGTTGCATCTGCTCTTAATTAAAAATCACATCCTCAAGTGAAAGAAAAAATCTCAACTGCAGTAAAAACCTATCTGCTGATGATCAAATTATACTGACCCTTTTCTTGTTTGAGTATCACACTAAGCCACTTTTTAGTGCCAGGCTAGGGTAACAAGGCTGAATAAGTGATGGGGGTCACATGCTCCCCTCCCTTCCCTCCCCTCCTCTAGAGTGGCCAAAATATAAACATCGAGAAGCTTTTAATTTCTGCTTTCAACTGTGTTCTGTTAAATCTGAACAGAGGCAAGTTGCGATTGCTTGTGTGAATAAGCCAAGCTCAAACATTAAATATAATTCTAGGTTTTTTGGATAAGCCATAATTAAAAGTAATTGTAGTTCCCTGTTCTGACATAACAACAAACCATAGCCAGTTTAAAGCAGAAACCAGGATTGGTAGCATAGTATCTCAGCCACACTAAAGGACAGCAGGGAAAATGAAGCAGTTACATTCCCATTGTACTAAACTATGATTCAGCATCATGTCTGAACAAAGCCAAGAAAGTGATTGTATGAAATGGGCATCAGTTCCACAGGTTTATTAAAATTTCAGTCCTGTGCACATCTAAGCCTAAGCCTTACTGAATACAGGGGGATTCACTTCAGTGTAAACATATATAAGCTTGCTATACTATTGTTTAACCAGTTTTTAAAATTACTTACTTACCCTTACGTTCTTTCTGTGATACTCAAAATGATTAAACAATTACAAGGACAATATGTTCACAATAAGCATTAAAGCAAGTAACAGTTGTCAAACTCAGAAAAAAAATATGGGTCTGTTTCTTCATCTTGTTTATTTTTATTCTGCAAGACTGAATAATTTTATCACTATTCAGGCTTTTTTTCTGCATGGGGGGTGATAAGTGTGTGTGTGTGTGTAAGCACCCCCAGTCAAACATGATGTACATATGATAGCATCCTGGACCTTCATGTGCTGAGCACAAAGGTCTAAAGAGGTCTCTGTAAGCACTTTGGTCTGAAAGCAGTCAGAGAGCTCCCACAATCAAATATCCTTATCATGATCTCCAGTCGCAAGAGCTCTATATCTGAGGTCAGCTGAACAAAATCAGAGATCTCTTTAGAGCATTATGCTTCACATGCAAAGATCCATGATGTTGTCAGGTGTTGCGGGACTATCAGAGTGGGGCTTATGTATGTGTTCTAGAGATGGGCACGAAGCACTTTGTGCCTCTTCATCACAAGTTGCCTGCACAGCAGCGCAGCTGCTATGCATTCCCTTCCACCTCCCCCTGGCTCACCCACTCACCAGCTGATGCAAGCTGCTCCTTCCCTCCCCGTTCCATGATCTTCCAATCTGGGCAGGAGCCCAGACTTCCCTTCTTCGCCTCCTCTAGCAGCTGGCCACTCAGACAAGGAGGCAGTGCAGGGATTCCTGCAGTACTGCTTGTGAGTGGTCAGCTACTGGAGGAGGTGGAGAGGGAAGTCCAGACTCCTGCCTGGACTGGAAGATCAGACGATGGGGAGGGAAGGAGCAGCACACGCTGGTAGGTGAGCTGGCGGTGAGGAGGGGAAAGAGAATGCATGGCAGCTGTGCTACTCTGCAGACGTATGACAAAGAGGCACAAAGTACTTCATGCCCGTCTCTAATGTGCTTGTGCCCCACCACCACTGCAGTCCTATATGTGAGAAGGTAAATGCATGAATAAGGCTTTTTTTAAAAGGCAAGTTACAGAATTGAGCTAAAACACCTTGGTGACAATTTACAAAGAAGGACTAGTACTATGGTGGCATAACAATTTCATTTAAGTCATATTCAGTAAAGGATTTCATGCCAACAGCTGAGCTGTGATTAAACACATTGAAAAATTAAGACTCTGTTACTTTCTAAAATAAATTTGTTTCTTTTACTTATTCTTTTGGATGAATGGCAGATTGCTGCCATTATCATTGCTCTTGCCTGCAAAAGTATGCTGCTTTGTTGCTCTTTATGTATTACCATGATTTTGTGCAGCCTTTGGAAAATATGCCAAAATGTTCCTTAGTTCCCTCATGTGGTCAATTCTGTTTATTGCACATTGAGAACAGAGTCATGATAAGCACAGTACAAAACATAACTTCTATCAGCACTTTCTTCCCAGATAATTTGACTGCCAACCCCTTGCCCACCTCCCATGGTGTAGTCAATCAGTGGTCATTATGTTGTCACCCACCTTTGAATGCCTCTTACCTATTACTGTTAAGCTATCAGCCCCTAGGACTATCATGAAATAGACTGACTCAATAAGCGAAGCTGTGGCCTTCAATTTGCAAGACCTGAGCCAAGACTGTTGAACTAAGGACTTTTTGGAGAAGATTCATTCATAGCTTTATTAAAAGTTACTTAATGACCCCTGACAACAGTATTGCCAAGGACCTTTATTAATCATTGATAACCATCACCATGTGGTTATCTAGTTGCCTTGGCACAACAACACCAAACCTTAATAAAAAGAGAGAAAGAAACAGAATGGAACAGGAAGGGAAGGGAAGAAAAAGAAAAATAAGCAGACCTAGGCACTAGGTTTGAGATGGAGAGGATTCAGCCAGTTTTCTTGCTGCCCTGGCTCTTTCACTGCTGCTCTAGCCAGGTGCAATAGCTTCAAACAAAATAGCTACAAACCCTTCCACATCAGCTCAAACCGTCACACCTTCTGAAGCGATGTGAATGCATTCAGTGTCAAAAAAGCAGAAGTCTCAACAGCAGAGGGGAAAAACTGGAGGCGGGGGGAGAATCTGGGCTGATTCATGTTGACTTCTACATCATGTAGTCAACAAGAATAGTAAGAACCTGACCATTCCAATCCCAGAGCATCTCCTGAATTGTTTGTCAGTGGCGTTGCCCCCTGACATTACAGCCCCCTTTTCACTGTGCAATGAAACATGCTACAACATTTAAGAAGGCAAACTTAATGATTCCAAGCTTTCGTACATCTCTTGTGAGATTTTTTTTAAAACTCTCTCAAGAAACAATCTTGCAAAGAGGGTAGAATCAGGAGGAATATTTGAAGAAGAAATGTGTTTTCAGTCATAAATCAAGACGTTCAAAACCAGGACACATGGCTTTCCAAGACTATGTCATTCAGTTTCTAGTGCTTTGCTGTTCATCTTTTCAATATGTTCTATAGTTTGGCAATGTATGTGTGCGTGCATAAGGGTGTGTGTGTGTGTAGTATTTCAAAACTATGATCCTTTACTGAACAACAATACATCGAGGACCGGCTGCACCAGTTATTCTTGGAAAAGATTATACAGTAATCTCAGATATAAAGCAAAGCATAGGTTCCCTTTTGATTTATAAACGTAACATACAGAAAAATAATATCCATGGCTGAATATTTCTTAAATTAGTATTATCAATTACATTTTTCTATCAATATGCAGAACTGAATGCCTTTTCTCACCCAAGGATCTAGGTCACCAGGGCTGTTCATTGTTTCTTAGCAAAAATCAAACATAACAAATAGACATACTGGCAAACAGACTTCCTATTTTTACAGATTTCCAAATATTTCTTCCTCATCAATATCCATGCATTTCCTTCTGCTTTATTCAATTTTCGATTTTGAGAGTGTGAATAGGGAACAGTATTCTAATTATATGCATGTGTATTGTACAGCAACTAATAATTTGTAAATACGATATAGATAATAAGTTTTAAAAAGCGGTAAGAATTTTTTAAAAGCAGGTATTCATATAAAATGCTGTAAAGCGGCATTTGTATCAAATGCTCAAATTCAGCTATTTCAGGAGTCAGTGAACATTTTTACCTTTTACCCTCCAAAAAATTTATATACGCCAATATTATCCCCTTGATTCGAAAGATATCGTGAATCCAAAATGTTAGGACCAAACTGTGGCAGATAAATGCTTAGCTGTTAATTCTAGACAAGGAAATACCCAGACATGTTTTTATTTGGCATTGTTTTAGGAAGCTTAAAAGCTCAGTTCACATTTTGCTTCATTGTTAAAGCATAAAGGGCTTGATGATATAATCTGAACTACTCAGCCATCCACTTTCTTCATGCTCTTAAAGCACTTAAGGGATACACACAAGCCCTGCATAGCTATTTTCCCCCAACGAGAAATTATCCTGTATGCAAACTGCACTCTGTTTCAGAGTTCAGACCACAGTACCTTAAATATATCATATGTGTCAGGTGCTGTCAGGTTGCTTTCAACGTATGGTGACCCTAATAGGGTTTTCAAGGTATCTGAGGCAATTAAGGAGTGGTTTTACCATTGCCACACCCTCTATGGATTTCCATGGCTGAGGCAGAATAGCAGCTTCCCATTAGTTTCTATGGACGAAAAGAGCAGATACGGATTAAATGGTTTTCAATGCATTCCTATGGGAAATGCAGATTCGACTTAAGAACTTTTCGACCTGAGAACTGCCTTCTAATACGGATTAAGTTCGTAAGTTGAGACCCCACTGTATACCATACTGACACATAAACATCTTATCTGATCTGATTTCCGAAGCTAAGCAAGATCAGGTTGGTACTTGGATGGAAAACTACCAGAGA